ATTAGATTTGTTTTAATGTGAATTTCTCATGTTGTTCCTATGTGCTGTTTACTCCGTAGACGTTTTAAGCTACTGTCGTCCACCAATAGGAAACATGATCAGGTATCGTGAGGTTTGGTTACAACTAGGCTCAAGGAAAGGACTAACAAACTACACGAACTGATTAGAACCCAAACTAGACTTAGGCAATCCCTTTTTGAAATATTGAAGGATGTGAATTTCATTAAGTTACAAGACATGGCTGACGAGTTATGAGAGGAAACTGACAGAACTACGCGTCGGATACATGATGAAAAGCTCCAGAATTTAGGAACTAGAATTAGGTCGAGAAACTTTGCGCTAAGTTAAGTCGTACTAACCATGGTTGTAGCAAGCTTGGGAAGTATAAGATAATCAATTTATCCAGTACAACTCTGGAGGATAGTGCAGTACTTTTATTGGAAAGAGGAGTGAATTTTGCTCTACCAAATGAGATAAACCATTCTCTGGAAATACTTGTTGAATTAATTAGCTTATCTGATAGATTGCCTGAAGTAATAGTGTTGAACTGGAGATCCTTCATTTTGACCATACAATGCCGCCAAAAAAAGATTGTCATCTTAGTAGGGTTTCTAGATATCTCTGTGGTAGTAATCTAATCGTAATGAAAGCCAACAAAGGTGGAGCAGTGGTAGGCATGAGTAAGTCAAGTTATGTAGAAAAAATTCTAGTTCATTTAAATGACAATGACACATATAGGCCTTTATTAAAAGATCCAACAGAAAGACTTATGATTAGGCTAAAGGATGCCCTTAAGATATGCGTAAGTAATGGTGAAATGGAGAAGTGGAAAATAAATTCACTACTCAAGAGAGATGCAAGGGCCCCTAGGGCTCACGGTCTCCCTAAGGTTCACAAGGACAGTGTACCTATAAGATTAATTGTAAATAATAAAGGAAGCGTGATGCATAAAATCTCACGTCTTTATGCATACGAATAAGAAACTCTGCCAATTTTTGGCTATATTCAGTTAAAATTGGTATGATTTTGTGAAATTGATTGAGCAGCAGACACTTTTAGAAGAGGATAGACTAGTAAGCTTTGATGCTCTGTCTATTTACACAAACATTGCTATTCAAGCTCTGATACAAACTTTAGATGAGCATCCAGAGATAACACAAGAAATAAGGCGGAGTGCAGCTTCCATTATTAGACTTGTTAACCTAACCATGAGTACCACATATTTTACCTTCGATGGTAAGTTATACATACAAACACAAGGATTAGGGATGGGATCTTGCCTGTCACCCATCTTGGCTTTAAATTATATGGCAAGATTGAAGGAACACTTCCTGAGGCAATACTAACCCCCAAATTGTTGGTTGCTTATTTTGTCATCTGGCCTCATGGTAAGGAAAGTTTAGATAGTTTCCTACTTTCACTCAACTAGCGTGAAACGAACATTAGGTTCACGATGGGAATGGAAGAGAATAAGTCCTTAACTTTACTGGATGTTCTCATCATTAGAGAAAAGAGTAAGTTAGAAAGATATGTTTATAGGAAGCCAATATATGTTGGCACTTTACTTAGTTCTCTTTGCAAACATAGTTACAAAACTAAGGTTGGAACTTTGAAGTCAATGATTATTAGGAATATGAGGCAGGCAGATAGCAAACAATTGACTAAAGAGTTGAAAAGGCCGACAAATTTATTCCTGGAAAATAATTATCCTTTGGCCTTATTAAGAATAGTATCTCTATACTAAGAAATAAATTTTAAATCGGAGACTATTTAGTCAAAAATAGACAGACTAAGACCTTTTCCCATGGTCTAATTTTGCCGTCATGCCTTCTTTCAAAAACGATAGGCGAATTAGTAAGAAAGTGGGGGATAAAAACAGAGTTTAAAGAAACCTTCACACTTTCTTGTGTTATGCCATCCTTTAGAGAGAAACACGACCCATTATCGAGATCCGGCTGCTACAAGATTGTTTGTTCATGTGGTTGATGTTATGTTGATGAGACATGCGGACCTAATAGACAAAGATTTGGAGAACACAAAAATGCTTGAAGCTGGGATCAACGGTCAGAAGTGGCCGAACACAAGGTAGAAACTTGACATGAAATAGAATGGTCTCAAACTAGTAGGTTTGCTGATTATGATACGTCTGTGGTTAAAAGAAAGATAAGAGGCTATTGAAATTAATAGCTTAGGAAATATGTTGAATGTCAGAAACGATGGAAGAAAGTTGAGTATGAACTACACATGCTTGATTTATAGATTGAAGGAGAGGGTGTTAAGCAGCCGTCAAGAAGGCGACTCAACTTGTCTGCTCGGTGATGGCTCTAATTTTATTTATACTCGTCTAATATGTTAGAATAAGCTCATCAACCAAACCAGACGTGCAAGATTACGCAGCCCCAGCATTTCCTTTCCAAGGGCGATTTAAGGCTAATGACCCTAGACTGAAAGGTTAGGACAAGTGGTTTCGTAACTTAGCTTTCATGCTTATAAGCTCATATCTCATTATCTCAACCATACTTGCTTACGGACTTACGCAGTCTCGGTCAAGGCATTCTCTTGGGTCATTAGGTCTTGATGATCAGAACCTGAGATTGGCCTTTTGTTCACTCTGATTAAGGAACGGTATTGCGTACAGATGCTGAGACGCACACATACACACACGCACACACTCGAGCAAAAATAACAGGACCAGTATAAAGGATAATTAGCCAGACAACTCTATATCGATCTATCTAGGCAAGATGGAGCCGGATAGTGTCCTTGCCATAGTGTTAACGTGATACTTTTATAGGAATGAGAAACAGCTATGATGATGTCCAGCATATGATGGACGAAAGCTCAGCCCGTTTTCACCCGAAACGAGGGAGGTCTCGTGGACTGCGTCAACATGAAAGTCGTATAAAAGCCAAACGGCTGCAATACAACCCGATTCAGCCATCCTCACCTGGTGAGATCGACCCAAGAATATCTTCTTCATGCACAATTTTATCTCAGAAGATTAATCGAAACCCAGTTTCTCTTCGTAATAGTGGAAAGTAATATGATTACTATGGCAGAGGTCTACTTGTCATACTAAACATGGTTCGAAGATGTGGTCATGCCAACCCCACATAGCTAAAATAAATTAAAATTCAACTACTCATCTTCCTCGATATGTCTACAAATAGGGTATCACACGATTTTAATAGATTTGTAGTGACTCAGTTCAAGTCTTTGGTCCATCTATATTTAGTGACGCAGGAATCTCCAATTTTCTTTACTAGACAATTTACTACGTCCTAGTAGTATTGAAATTTACACCGCTGCCTGTTTGTTCAGCCACGTTAATCATAATTTTTTTAAGCTTTTGTCTAATTGGACACGTTCTTTCAAGTAAGTGTTTTTTTGAACATTAAATGTAAGTAACTACGTCCACCAGATCAAAGAAAACAATAAAATCAATCTTGTCATTTGACCTTTCCTAACTGTTGTAAACGTTATGGCATCCCTCCTAATTTTTGCAATTTGATGAGAAAATATCACGATAAAGTCAATTTTATATTATATTAAGCATCTTTGCAAAAAAGAAAAAAAGAGAGGAAAAGTATTTAAGTTTTTAAATATTGAATCTAAACCCAGGCACGATTTGAGTCAGATTCTCCTTTCGGGGGATTTCCTGAAATTATAAATGATAGACAAATTGTCTAAAAGGATATCTGGCTTAATTAAAAAAAGGAACCAGAAGAAGTTGAATATAAATGGGATCGATAGACAGCCCAAAGTACAAACATCAGGAAAAAATGAAGGTGCCTCTAGGCTGGAGATCTCACAATCCAGACAAAGAGTAAGGATAAAATATTGGATCTATTTTCCGTCCCTATTGACCTGGAAAAAACAGATATCCTCCAGAAGGGACTAATTTTTCACTTCGGAATGAAAGGAAGTCAATCAGGGAAATTTTAGTGAAGATGATGAATACCTATGAGGAGCTACCTGAAGAATCAAAAAGAGAGCTGGAAATGGAAATCATTCCAACGATCTTGGCACATCAAGAACACATGCATAGGGACAATATAACCAAAATATATATAGAATTAAAAAGAAGCGATAAAATAGTTCTACAAGCTGACAAAGGTGTCACAGTGAAGATGGAAAGGGAGAAATATACTGAGAAAATGGGAAATATTCTCATGAGCACTACAACTTATCGGCTACTAACAAAAGGCTCAACAGTTAAAATCGAAGGGGAACTGCAAGAAATGCTGAAGGAAATGAAATATGAACGGGGAAATCGACAAATGGATAATCAACTAATTTATCGGAAAGGATGCAAAGGCCCCAGTAGCATATGGATTGCCGAAGGTACACAAAGGAGAATCATTGAGATTTAAAATCAACAACAAACATGGATCAACAGATAAATTGGCGAAATTTATATGCCTCAAATTAAAAAAATGAATAAGAGACTATAGAATAACAGTGAAGAACTCATACGAATTTTGTCGAAGAATCAAAGATACCAGTTTAGAAGGAAACGAAATTTTGGTGAGCTATAATGTACAATCCATGTATACTAACATTACAGGAGAAAAATGACTCGTGGTAATACTGGAGACCTTGGAATAGGAAAATGGCATCCTGGAGACGGAGCAAATCAGTAACGAGTCTATAACACGTTTAATCAACCTGACAATAAGAACGATCTATTTCACGTTCAACGGCTACATATATGAGCAAGTAGTTAATCTGCTTATGGGCTCATCACTCATCTATGTTAGCTAGTCTCCTCATGGACAAGTTGGAGGAGAATTTTAAAATGTCACCTCAGCAGCCAACAGTAATTATGCGATACTTGGATGACTACTACCTGATTTTCATAAACGAAACAGATGAAAAAGTCAAATTTACCATGGATGTAAAATATAACGGTTACTAACATTTCCCGGATGTGGAAACCATTCGCTCAGAAGAAACTCTCAAGAAAGAAATAACATTCTGGAATAGCTCTTAACATCAGATCAAACCATGGAATGAAGATTGGAATGCTCCGAAATATGGTCACAAGGAACCTGTGGATTCACAGATTCTGAGTTTTGGGAAGATGAACTAGAAAAACTAATCCGTTTATGACTTGGAAACGGATATCCAAAAGAAGCAATACAACGCAACATACGGATTTTAATGAGCAGATGAGAGGACGGAGAGTATGAAAGAAAATCAACAGCATAGGAAAAACGATGGATATGTTTACTCTCGTGCGAATTGGCTCGGAAACTTCGGCCGATACTATGGAAATAGAGGGAAAGGACAACCCTCTTCACCAGCTTGTCTACTGAACATGAAAAAGTCAATAAAATAGAATGCTCCAGCATAAACTGTAAGGACTGCAAACAAAAATACATAGGATAGATGGGAAATACAACCTGCACAATGATAAATGATTATGAATAAAAATGGATACGGAAGGATCGGAGCTAGCTGAACGCAACGCCCTTACATGACACACAATTGACTGGAATGTAACAAAAAGTTTGACCTCATTAGAGAGAACACCAGAAAACAGGAGATCAGAGAGGCTGTGGACATCCTCTTTCAAAGTAACCTAATCAACAAAAGATTAGAAAAGGGAATAATTAGCAATAATTTTGCGTACTACCTGGGCAGACATAGAGATTTAGCGAAGACATCAAAAAGAAGACGCCTGGAGCTAGGACAACTGTTCAACAATAAAGAGATACCACGAAGGAATAGCTCGAGGGATTAAGAGCAATCAAGAAAAAGCTACTGAAATGAGAGTAAAAGCTGGAATTGGCCAAAAATTTACCCAGTCTACATGTGGGAAGTAGAAAATGAAATGAAAGACTAAAGGTGTAGGTGGACCAGATATAGGTCACCAGTGTGTGCTCGTTGGTGCTTGTGTGCATTTTTCGTGTCTGTGCCTGAAATGGAGGTGACGGGTAAGATACATGAC